TTTCAGAAATCCTYCTTGCTCCCTTTCACAGTCCTTGCTACAGTTTTCATTCATGTATACAGGAGTTTTACAAAATGTCTCTACCAACTCATTAATGATTTCACACAATACATTGTACTTGGAGATCTCTTGAAGACCTTACAGTTATGCTATTTTTGCTGTAATCACCATTTTTCAGATAGTATGGCAGTGAATGWTTTAGTTAGTACATTTTTGCTATTTAGTAATGGTTTTAGTCAAAATACATAAAAGGTACCACAACATGGTTGACGGAACGTTTTAATTCTGAAATACAAAAGAGCAGTTACAAGATTTTCGTGCCTCTTTTTTTACAAACTGTGTCACTATGGTGGGGCATGATATGGTCTTACAGAGTTAATTTTTGTGAAACTGAAGTTTCTGTGAATCTGTGTATTTCTGTCTCATGCAGCCAGAGGAAATGCKGCCTCTGCTTTCCGAAGCCTCTGAAGAAGTGTGGTTGAATGATATCTCCATACATTAAGTTAGTGTTCTAGAGTGAATTTGGACAGTCTAAACTTTCCAAATTCTAGTGAATGAATTTCAAATCCGATTAATATTGTCAGTGAACAGTTTGTATATTTTTCATTGCTAAAATACATCAGTGAAGATAGGGAGGGATTTTTGCTGGTTGARTCTTATTATATTTTGACATCTTGTTTACTGCTGAAGAGTTTATCACTGCCTTGTATGAAATCTTCCAGGAACTTACTGTTTAACATCCTGAAAAATAGATTTTGGAACCTGTTTTTACTCTGTGAGAAGAAGAGAGCAACTGTTCAGTCACTCCTGTAGAATTGGTCTCAGAAACCTTCAAACAGATGTTAAACGATACTTGTCTGGATGTGCATTCAAAGTAGTTTAAATCTCTTGACATCTGACTGTGGAAGCTTCTACATATCCTTGGCTTCTTTTAAGTTGTTGAGCATATTTAATGCAAGTTAGGATTGGGCACTTTTTTTGTGACTCTAAGGGCTCTGCAGAGCTGGTTGTCAAACTGTTGAGTGGTGTTTAAAAATGTTCAAGTGCTGTCTGGTGTTCCWAAATGAAGATAAAAAACAGCTGTTATGGGCTGGGAATAATACTTATGCTGTCCTAGGGTTCATTAATTTTAGGAGAATTACAGATCAATGACAGAATTCTATTTTCTATAGAATTGCTCAGAAATTAGGCATGGCTATAAGAAAATTATTGTACCATGGTAAGACTTGTGGTGCCACAAGACTATGAACAAATAAGAGTGATTTCTGAGTTATTTTAAAATACTTAACTAATACTTTTTTGCAAACATTTTCTATTTCTTGAACAGTTTGTTTTCTTGTTTCTGCTTGGTTGCATGCAAGACCTCTCGTTATATTTTGTGTTTTCTATGTCTGAAGTTAAGAAATATTCTAATGCATATAAGAAAAATTTGACATTAGGTGGCATAGTACTAATAATTATTAGGYCCACATTTTTACTTCCTGTGGCTTGGAGGTAGTGGTGAGGTGTCTGCATTACTGGTATATCGTAATGGTAAGTTTTGCTGTGGGGAGGAGGGGACTGATGTGATCCATCTGTCACTCTGCCTTTCAGCATGGTGGTGGGACACTGTGGGACAGCTGTGCCTCCTCGTGGGTGCTGTTTCCAGTCAGTGAAGGAGGAAGGTGCTGGGAGGGGAGCAGAGCACAGAACACCCCACCAATTGCTGTCAGCTGGGCCCTTCTGGTGGGTGAGGCTCCTCYTGATGGGCAAAAACATTTTCAGAACAGTCTTCCTGATTTTCAGCAGCAATTGGCAGAAATTGTCTCAAGAAGTGGTTATCCTATGGAAAGCAGAATAATAATGAACAGCAAAAAATACTGGTTTGATCACTGTTGGTGCTCATGTCTGGTTTTCCTGTCCTAAAAAGAAATTGGATGAAAGCCAGCTGGAGATGTCTGCACTCATTAATAATAATTTTCCCATTGTCTGAGTGCAACTTTCCTAAAACTTTCAGAGAAATCTCTTTGGTATGTTGTAAATATTGTAAATATAAGATCTGTCACTTAAGTTGCATGCAATTACCTACCTCATAACATTTTCTTATTTTCGCTGTGAATTTCCACAAACTCCACAGCTTTGTTTTTTTGTGGTGGCTTTAGCAGGGATTGCACTCCAGGCTGAGGTGGTGCCAGTGCAGGGTGACAGCAGCTCCAAGGGYTCCCACTTGTGTTGCAATGTTCCACTGTATGGAAACTCATGAACTGGGGGAAGACAGCCCAGATTCACTTATCCCACCTTGTCCCTGGAGGCCCAGTGCAGACCAACCCTCTCAGTTGTTGCTTTTGTACTTGGGCACAGGAATGGTGGAACATTGGAGCCTGCCATTGTGGAGTGCTTTTAGAATCATCCTGGGATGGCTGTCACTTGACAGTGGAGCATTAAATTCTGCAGTTAAAAATGCAGTTGCAGTTAAATACTGTGAAAGATTACTGTTGCAAAAAAAGGGCATTTTTTGTTTATATTTTTTATCATTGTGGCTGGTATTGTTTGCCTTTTCTATTTTTAAATTTCTTTGTAAGCTTTAAAAAATATTTCACTTTAATACACAAAGCAGAGCTCCTAAGTTATCCTAGAATAGGTAGGCAGGTGGTTCCAGTGGGTGGGAGAGGGGGAAATAAGGTAATAAAATATATACAGACATCTCTGTTGGGTTTTCCTTTCTGTCAGTTTACATGTAAGATTTGAATAATAGTTCAATTAGAATTTCTATTTTTTCCTGGTATTCTGCCACTGCTTTTTTCCATTAATTATCTCATTTCCCCCACTTCATTTTCTATGATCTGATCATCCAACTTGCTCCACAGATTATAATGAATAATCAAGTTTTTGGCTTCGTGTGTTTCGTGGCACAGATTATATCCCATGAAAGGTTTTACTGTCAGTATCAGGTTTTGAGTATTCAAGTACTTGGAATGGTGAGTGGAGCTACAGCTGAAGAGTAGATAAAAAGTTTTCTCTTGATTGTGAGACTTTTGCTTTAGTTACTCACTTACTGATTTATCCCAATCAAGATCCTGTTGGGGGATTGCCCTGAATGGTTGTAGTGGCCTTGGGTTCTTTGTGCTTTGTAGGGCTTGGGCAGATGGTGTCATAGAAATGGAAGTTATGAAAAAGTTTATTGAAGTGATAGCAGCAGTCTTCACATGATGTGTCAGCAAGATAAAATGAAGGGGAACTTTTTATTTCATGGGAATGGATGTGAGTCAAGGATTCTCTAATTTCTAATAATCTTAATAGAGAATGTTGTCCTTAAATTTTATTACAAGAGAAGATTTTGTTGGTTTAGTAACCAACTTGGGTTTTTTTTTAATAAGAAGGATTAACTGCTTCATCTAAAACAAAATTATAGGTAAACTTAAGGTTCTTTCACACCAGCCATGCTTTGATGGTCTGGTAATGAAGCACAGATAACTGATTTCTTAAGTGGCATGAAGGCATTTAATAGATCTAGACTGGTTTCTTTTTAATATAAATCTTGGCATTTAAATAAGGGGGTTTGGGGGAAATAAAAAAATTAAAATCTGGATGGAGACAAGATGGAGACAAAAGCTTCTGGAATGYTGGCAAGAAATCAATCTGAATGTCATTTATTCCTGGAGCAGACATGGGGATTTTGGTTAATTAAGTAGGTAAAGTGATTCTTGTTAGTGACGTCTTGGGTATTTCCTTGGAAGCTCTTGGTAATTGGAATGAAATATGCAGTATGGTTAAAAAAGTGCACTCTTTCATTTGGCATGAAATGTTTCYCAGTGAGGGCTGAAATCTTAAAAAGATAAATCATATTTAATACATTGACAATAATGGGCTAGAATAAATTATTCTGTTGAGTGTTACAGGCTAGAATATAAGTAGAATGCTGTGGTCTAGGACACAATATTACAGGGTTTTTGTGTGCAGTTATCTTCAAAAGAAGACTTTTGAATTAGTAGAAACACACATTTAGAATTACCGGCATTATCTCATACTGGTCATACTGTTATCACAMAATCATGTTAAATCAAACTATATCTATTTTATATAAATAGAATCACTTCTAGTTGTTTCCATAATTGAATAGGATCTTTAAATGTTGTTGTATCACAGACATTCCTAGGGTCATGCTGGCTGTAGAGTTTTTAATGTGAATTTTTAGCAAACGAATCAGAAACCTCGTTAACGGTCCCACTGTAGGATTTAACTGGTCACTTAACATTCTAAAATGTCAGCTGACTTACTCTAGAGATAGAAGTGTAGTGTTAGATTTTTCCATGCAGCTAACTCACCTACTAAAATAAAGAGTGTTGGAACAGCTGAGTTAAGATGGARAGGAATTTCAATCAGAACAGCAGGAGGGAAAAGTAAAAGGAGCAGATTTTTAACTTGGGAAATTAAAGGAAGCTTATATGGGAAAATACATTGATAGTCCTAGTCCTACCTAATATTTTGCAAACAAATCCTTTGCCTCATCATGGAAATATGCAAGTATTTTTAATGCTTCCCATTATCTGTTCATATAGTCTGGATTTATCTTTGAATAAAATACGTGAAATATACCTGTGGTGTTTTAATTAAAGTAAATAGGTCAGACTAGGATTTAGCATGATTGTATAGTGGTACCTAATGAGTTCAGGGTCCAGCAGCGTCTCACAAATCAGTTGCCATTAGTTTGTAATTTCATCTATAATGTTTGGCTCTGAGCTTTTAATAAATTAATCAGGCTAGGACTACTTGAAACAGTTTAACGTGAAGCCTTCAGACTGGCTGGTCTCAAATAACCTAAATTAAAATAGCACATAATCTATAGTACTCTTTATTGGTAATGCAAGCAATAGGTTTCATTGTGTTCTCTAGCTGCAGCTCTTGAGGTCTGCAGTGGGATTAATTTGTTGTTCCATTACAGCATTATAGTAGCCAAGAGCCTAACTGTAGGCTTTTTCTGTAAGAAAATGCAATGTTATCATTTTCCATAATATCCACAGGTTTTAGGACCTGCCCCAAAATGGTGTTCCTTCTTGGACAGCTTGACTGAAGAACTGGAAGAGAATCCAGAGAGCACAGTTTATGATGATTACAAATTTGTTACCAGAAAAGACCTTGAAAATTTAGGTAAAATAGTTGTATATGCTCTTTGGGTGATTTCTTTGTTCAGTTTTTGAACATTAACACATCTGATTTTTTTAATTCCAGTGTGATGCATCAGGGCTGTTAGAAATTCACTGACGGTAGTTTCCTCTAGTCTTCTTGGTTATTAATATTCCAGACAGATGGCTCTAAGTTTTTTGGTTCCCAGCCAGTGCAACACTAGACACTTTTGTTTCTCAGATTTTTATCCCAGGAAGGGGATTGATATTTGCTGATATAGTATGCCTGGGAATCTGTTATGTCTGCTTTCAAATGCTACATGGAAGGCATAGGAAGAAAAGTTGGATTTGTTTTCAAAATATTTTTGAGGTGCTCAAATTGAATTTAGAACTCACAGCAAAGGCTGCTCTATTTGAATGTAGTAATTTTCAGAAAATACAAATCATTCTAGGGCTAATAGTTTCAAGAAATTGAAATACTGAAAATTATGTAGCAGAGAAGGTAAGCAAGCTTCTCCCTGGGCAGTCCTTCTTCTGTCCAGTACATGGTTTGATTGCAATGTTTTGCTCCAGTTTAATTACCTCTGACTGTGAGAACTGGCTTTGACCAAAGGCAAAACTCTTTAATTAAGAACTTCTCTATATCACACTAAAGAGGATTTGTCAAACACCTATGGACTTCCAAAAAACCTTCAGGAATTTTTTGTGAACTTCTATAGAGCATAGTGCATGTGGACATGATTTTTATTCCCAGTTTTACTTAGTCTTGATGTCATGATTGTGACTGTTAGATTGATGTGTTGCATTGATAGTGTTTTTCTTAGTCAGGGAGGTGGAATAGTGGAATAGTCAGGCTAGCTTGGAATAGAACTTCTTTATATATGAAAGCTCTTTAAAATTCTCTGGAACTTTTTTCCCAGGCCTTGCTCACCTCATTGGATCATCATTGCTCAGAGCATATATGCATGGCTTCTTCATGGACATAAGACTTTATCATAAGGTAAATAAGGCTGAATCTTGTCAATTTTTGTTCTTAACAATAAAATATGTGTGTTGGGGTTTTCTTTCTCTTTTTGTATTTTTTTTTTGTTATGGCTGGGTTTTTTTTTCCATCTAGATAATGTACTGTGTCCTGTATTAATGGTATTTTCTTTTTACTTCCTCCTGCTTTTTCAAAGGCAAAAATGATGGCCAACCCCTTTGCCTATGAGGAATACAGAAGAGAGAAAATAAGGCAGAAGATAGAAGAAACACGTGCACAGAGAGTTCAATTGAAGGTAAATTCTGTAAACAAATAGTATTATCTGGGGAAAACTTCATCAAGAGTAATATATTCCTAAGTATTTCTGAGAGAAGTCTGAGATTTGATTCTGCTTATCATTGGACACACAAAGTAATTTATAGAACTTCTTGAATGGAAACATAAAATTTCCATGCATGTGATTTTGACACCAAAACTAAAAGAGCAGCTCTCATCTCATTTGCCGCTTGAACAGACAATTCACTGGTAAAACTTTGCAATTKCTACTTCTGTCATTAAGTTACTTAAGCCATTGAAGCATGATGTTCTGGAAAGAGATATATGAAAATTGTATTGTGTTTTTAACTAGTAGCTTTCTAGATTGGATTTGTTCAACATCAAAGGAGAGAGTTGCTTTGAAAGTTCTGAAGCTGATGCATTAGAAGTTAAAAATAATGTACAAGTTGTTAAATCTACTCCTAAGTACTGTTGCCTTACTAGTACCTGGAAATATTTGGAACCAGTCAAGGAGCTTTTCTGCAATAGTTGTAAGAATGTAGAGCATGTAGGTTGTATTGTAAAAGTAATAATTGCTTGAAATTGAATAATTGTTTTCCTCTTTTTAGAAACTTCCCAAAGTTAATAAAGAACTTGCACTCAAACTGATGGAAGAAGAAGGAGAAGAGCAACAGATCAGTAGAAAAAGGAAACAAAAGGTGAGCTCTTGCTTTGGTCACTTCTCTAACTGGGAGCACAGAACTAGCAATTCTTACAGGATTAATTTTTTTCCTTGTTGCTATTTGGCCAAACAGATTTAAAATATCATTGTTTCTGTTTTCTTATAAATAACTTATTCTGGTAGGTAGCTGTAAGATGGATTTGACTGTAGCTGCAGCACAAAGAAGACCATATGGTAATTTGAAGCTAAAAATGATGACTTACTCACTATGAAGGTGACCCAAGTTTTGTAGGACTCCAAAAGCTGCTTAATGCACCTCAATACCACACCTGTTCAAGCAAGACCTGTTCTTTGCATTTGTGTTTTGGTGGTGACCATGAGATCGTCTATAAAATTTAAGATATAATTGCCTTTTTTGTTTATACAGTTGAAAATATTTTGTAGAATAGGCAAAATGGTTTGCTCTTATGTAAAAGGAGTTTTTCTGGATGTTAAAAATAATCCGTTTCTCTCCCAAGAGAAGTTTTAATTGAAGAAATGGGTAAATCTTTAATGGGAGAGGTGGGTTTCTATACATAGCACCTCATAGGTGCCCATTCTCACAGAATATAGCATTCATGAAAGGCAGACATTAGCTGCATGTGATAAATAATGAAATCTTGTGTGTTAACATTAGTAGTAAGCATGAATTACTAAAAGGTAGGTGGTGTAACTTCAATGCAGACTGAAGCAAATGGTACAATGAAGATGAGAGTTCGGTAGATGGGGACTGATTTGTCTTGGAGTWCATACAGATTGTGTTATTAAGTGGACTAAATAGAGTGTATATAAAAATGCATGTTCTGTTTATTTTCCTGAAACAGTATTAGAGTCCTATGACAAAAAAATTATTTTAGGTTTTGGGATTTAATTTTTGGCTGTGATTGAAAGTCACACATTTAAAGTTTTTTTGTTTGAAATTTACTCTTTTTTTCTGTATCTTTAGTTCCACCATCCATTTCTTAAGTAAAGGTAAAAACCTAATGCTGTGATGAGATGAATATGCTGGTATAAGTTGAGCAAAGTTAAAAAATTAGCATTTTATAGTAAAAAGCTATGTATGCAATGATTTTGAAATTACTGAATTCCATTAACTAATTCTCATAAGTTGAATTAGTAGCTGAATTAGAGCTGTTCTGAGTTCACCAATAACAAAATTTACAGAGTCCATTTGACTTTGGCTTGAACAAAACTGCCTTTTCCATACTGTATGTAGAAGTAGTGAAGAAAAAGTGTTGTAACAGGTATAACAGCACTTCCTATTAAGTATTTACAGTAAAATAATAGTAGCATTGCATAAAGACATGTACCCTTATAATTTGTTTTACATGCTGTACAATCATCCCCATCAGGCAGTATATTTGCCTTGGAGCAACTGCTGATTAGTCAGTAGATATCAACATGTCTCCAGACTAGCTGGCTGGATGTATGAGAAACATTTATTTGAAAATATTAGTAATTGTGTATTTAAAGTGTCTGTACTGTGCCTTAAAAAAGCTCTTGCTTACAGGGAGCTTAGAACAACCTTCGTGAAAGTACAATAAGCATAAATCTTGATTTTTATTTGATCTGGAAGACTAAGCAACTGGCATTTCATATTAATTTTGTTTAATTAAAAAAAACATTGCTTATTTTGTTAATGTCTGTTTCAGGATTGTCTAACTTGCTCATGCTTTGAGTTTTTTTTCCAGAATCTGCCCAGCCTTCTCAAAGATGATCGTTTTAAGGTCATGTTTGAGAATCCAGATTTCCAGGTGGATGAGCAGAGTGAAGAATTTAGGCTACTTAACCCACTTGTTTCTAAAATAAGTGAGAAAAGAAAGAGGAAACTGAAGATCTTAGAAGAACTGGAAGCACAAGGACAGGTAAAATGTTTTCCATTTGGATTAAGAAAACTCCGTAGGCTTTTTTTTTCTCTATTTCAAGCATTCAGACTTTTCACCACAGAAAGATGGATGCAATGCAAGAATGTCTTATCAGCTACAATAATTAACTGTAATTTATAATTTTAATCTAGTTTTCAGAAGTGAATAATACAGTTTTTGCACAAATATAGGTTTGAAAAACATGAAATATGTAGATGGTAACAACTTTGTAGTATATTTTCAGCTTCCTTTGCTGTTACTGCTTTTGTTTAAAAGTTGTGGTTCTCTTCAGCTCTATGTAAAAAAAATGTCATATATTCTAATTGTAGGAATGGTTTGAAAAGAAAATTAGTTGATGATTTCTTATTTTATACTATTTTTGTCTGCAGGAAGAGGAGGAAGAACCAGAAGGAAAAGCAAGTGATGCAGAAAGTTCTGAGAGTTCAGATGATGAAAAAGGCTGGGTTGAAGAGGTCAGGAAACAGCGCAAGCTTTTACGCCAAGAGGAAAAACTAAAGCGGCAGGAAAGGCTCAAGGAGGATCAGCAAACATTACTGAAACCTCAGTTTTTTGAGATTAAAGAAGGAGAGGAATTCAGAAGCTTCAAAGACTCTGCCAAAAAACAAAAACTAATGAAGTAAGACTAATGTTCCTATTTTAATAGCTGGGGGTGGGTGATTCTCAAATATTTCCCTACAATGCAGGCCAGTGATGTTTTGCCTTGGAAGCACTTGCTGGTAAAGCAACATCTGGTGATCCAAGGATATAACTTAAAGTGGCATGGTTGTTGAAAGTTTTGTTTTATAGGCAAACAAATACACTATTTCAGGTAGGACAGAGACACATCACAAATGAGATGAGTAAGATAGTATTTTGAGTCAGATTGGGGAATCCATTGCTCAGTGTTGGTAGGTGCTGCACTCACAGATAACAGTGATGTCTTGTGAGACTGGTTRTATTTCTCCACCAGTGTCAGTATGAGGTTAACAGACTGGTTGTTTTTCACCTGACCATCTAAAATGCTGTACAGTGCTGTGTGAATACTCACTGTTTTGGGAATAGGATCAGGATGGGTCAACGTGGTAAAAGAAAAATTGTTTTGTCTGGGTATTTTTATGGCATCTAGAAACTTTCAAAATCTACGTTCTCCTTATAATGTCAGGACTTACTATTTCTCTTTTTATTTTTGCAATACAAAATACCAGGCTGGGAGGGTGTTTGTTTAATGTAGTTTTTTTGTTTTGGTTTGGTTTTTTTCATTTCCTTAAATTGATGATCATCTGAAATAACAGGTACATAGATAAGCATGTCAAACTAAAGAAAGCACGTTAAATTAAAGGACTTGGCTTTGAGGTGCTCAGTGCTTGCAAATCTTACTGATTGGTTTTTTTTTCAGAAGTGAGTTGAGCCCTTCAGAAGATGAAATTTAATAGCTTTTTATTGTTTGCGGCACAGTCATTAAAACCTTTCAAGGTATCAGAGTTCCTGCAGCACATTGGGTGCAGAGCAGAATTTTGACTAATATTTGAAATGAGTTGTTGGGCTAGATGGATCTCATAATAAACATTTTGTTTTTACTTAGAACAGAATGATACAGTCAAAGAAAAGGAAGTGAATAATATATATAATGGAGCTGTTTCTTTATGTCACTAGTGACTACTCTGCAACCTAGTTGTTTTATGATGGAAATTTTCTGGAGACACATAAAGAAACATTTGTTAAAACTTCAGCCTTTTAACTAGAATTATCATGTAAAATGGATTTTTAAGTGTTAGCAAGACAGTGTTCCTATGGTAGTCAGATAGTTTATGATTTCCGTGTTGTACCTGTAAGACTTCTTTGAAGTAGAAGCAGTAGTATTTTATAAATTGGGATTTATAGCAGTTCTGCAGAACTGATTCCCATGTTTTCTGTAGCTGTTTTTTATCAACAAGTGATTTCACACGAGGATTTTTCTTTGTTCTTCCTATTGAGTATATCTCTTATTCTGGCCTTTAAAGTTTTTAGATTTTTCCATTAACTTTCTTTTGATAATTTTCTCTTTTTTGTTGTTCCACAAGATGAAGCAGTTTTTAGTTTTGTCAGTTTTTCTTCTTTGTCAGGAGAAAATCCACTCTGGGCCCTCTGACAAAGTATTTCGGGTTAGTTTTTTTTTTTTTACATTGTAATTGGGTTTAAAGTCAGATTAGCTGTAACTTGGAAGGGGCCTGAGACACTGGTCATATGACAGTGCAGTAAAATACTTCATTAAAAGGCTGTGTGGCTGCAGCCTACTCATATACTGTCCTTTTGTACAAATTCATCTGCTAAGCCCTAAAGCAGATTCTCAAGGACACTCAATTTGAAGCATAAAGACTTCATTTTGTTCAAAAGATTGAAGGCTTAAATGTGAACAAGAGTGTGGAAATCCAAGTAAATAAGCCAAGACAGGTGTAAGGAATAGAAACATTTAGAAAAAAGTAATGCAGTATGACACAGGACAAAGTTGAATTCTTTAATCTAGATTTAAGGGAGAAAAATAATTTCTTCAGCCCAGGAAAAACAAAAGCAAATACCACAGACCAGTCCAATAGATGAAGGAATATCTGTGATGACGTAAACCATCAAAAGACTTTTAAAAGACTGCTTTTAAAGAGAGTCTGTCTTAAGATTCACTGCTAATACGTACCCTCTGTGGTAGGTACACAGATGGGAGATAATGCAAAATGTAAAAAAAAGGAGAGGAATTTAAGGACATAATGACATGACCAAAAAATGCATGTGGTAGCATCAGTTGCCTTGTTTCCTGAATTGTTATTTAATTGACATACACAGAATTTTTTTATCTTTGTCTGAGCAATTAGCTCTATACTCACCGATCCTGTTTGTGGTCATCCAAGCATTGTTTGCAGTATGGAGTTTGGTGTTCCTCAAATTCTTAGAAGAAATTTAAAAATCTGCAGCTGGTATCTGTTTCATATAATGCATATCTGATATGATTTCATAATCATAATGATTTAGCCTGTGTTGTGAGCTAACTTGTTTAGTTAATAAGCATTTTTGCATATTAGAATTTTATGAACAAAATAAATATGTTTTGTGCTGGCCTTATTCACTGATAAGTAGTCAGTATAAAAGTAATTAATTCAAGTAACGTACTGAAAATTGGAAAGACTGTAGTGGCATGTACAATCTGGTGAGGCTGGCATGTTTGTCTTTGATTTGATATATCCAAGTTACGGAATGATGGTCTGTGACCAATATAATTAAGTGCCTTAATACCTTCACTTAATGGCTAGATGTTCTTTTTTTCTCTAATCATATAATGTTCTACCTGAGGAAACAGTTTATGACTTATATAAAACTGGGTGTTTCTTTTGACATGTTCCTGACTCAGCACGGCTCCAAGCCCAACTTCTAAAGCAGTGGTGTGTACTATAAATTTCTTCTTAGACCAACAGTCTATGCATTTCTCTGAGCAGGAAAGCTGCAGAATTTACTCATGGTTCTATAAAACACTTTGTCTCAAATCCATCTGCATTTAATTTTCCCCTTTTTTACTCTTACACTTGCCTAAGAAACTTGCAAATCCTTGCTTTGTTTCCCTGTAACACAAGTTTCCTACCTAATAACTTGAAAGGAAACCATGAAAGGAAAGGATTTTTATTTATCTGTGTGCTAAGAGTTCTTTTGATTTACTTGATGTCCTTTTAAAGATTATGTTACTGAAGTTAAAGCATGTCAAAATTAAAAACTGTAGTAGTCAATTTTATAAAAGGTATGACAGTTTACATATGTGTTGTCAGAGGTGGCCAAGAAAGCCAACAAAAGCATAGTTGGCATGCCTAGCTATTGCTAAGGAGGTATTCCTGTTTTAGAGCAGGAAAAGTCCTGAAAAACTATTCCCCTTATAATGAGGAAAGAAGAAGTACATGGGTAATTTCTTGTTCGTTTTTTGTGTTATGGCAGGGAAATTCACTTCTCATAACACAGTTAATTTATTCCTTGAATTAATTTGTTGAGGAAGATGTGAAAAAAACCCCAACCAAAACAAACAACCCAGCAGCTGTGTTTGTGTATCAGTATGTACAATTCACTGTCACTTGAGGTCTGCACATTTTCAGATAAATAGAGCCATACCTGTATTTTTTCAGTAAGGTTACAACCTGACAGCATGTTGCTGGTATCTACTCATTTTTTCTCCTGACTGAAGCAGTGTCTAGGCAGTCATGCTAAATAATTGCTGGGTAGTAGCCATATTTCTCCAATTCACTTTCAAAGGGGAGAAAAATGGGACTTCACTTGAATGTAGAAATCCCACCACAATGTTGGTGACTGATCTTCTGCCACAGTTAGCTCTAAGGCTTAGCTTGTCTTTCTGATTCGCACAGATGGAACAAGTTTTTACATGTACTCAATGAAAAATATACTACAGAAAAAAATACAAAGTACCCAGTCATGAGAAATAAAGTAATTCTTGACAGTAATTTTTCATTGTTAATCTGAAAAGTCTTTGTTACATAAAATGGCTCATTAACCAGAATTCAGTGGAGTTCAGAGGCTTCATGCATCGGCCACAGCCATGAGTTCTTCGTGCACAGTAAATGCCATTGACTCTGGTGGCTGCTAATCATCTCTATTTTTATGATGATTTATTTTCCACATTAAAACTTGTACAAAAAATGTCTCTTGGCCCTCTTCAGAGAGAGTTAATGAGGCACTAATAACATCTCAAATTGCAGAAACTAAGTTTGTTTACCGTTAGGAGAATGTTTTCTAAGCACATGCAGAGTGGGTTTGATGGAACAAGCCGTGTCACATTCTCAGAGGTGCTACTTACTCGTAGCAGTGGATGAGCCATGGCTGAGCCATGTGAGGACTCACAGGCACCTTTAGGGAGGCTGGCTGAAGCACTGTCCCTGCCTGCTTGCCTCCCCCTGAGCTGGAGGCTCTGTGGGAACAAGGTGGTTTTGCACTCCTCAGCTGTTCAGTTTGCAGCCCAAAATAACTGAAGTCAGCAGCTGTGGTATTAAATACCAGCTCACAACCTGGAGCAACTGGGACATGTCCATGTGTCTTGCTTTTGCAGGGCATTAACTGCCAGTGGAGGAGAGCTGCAAACAGTTTCAGCCACATCACCTACCTCCTTCTCCATGGGAATGCTGGAATRTGGTGCCTGAGAGAGAGGCTCTACACCAGCTTGCTTACAAAAACTCAGTGATAAGCACTGTGCTTGAAAGCATGTGCTTCTGTGGAGCCCCTCTCTGGGGCCAGAGCCTGTCTTTATCATTTTTTTATTATTATTTTTTATTATTCTTGTTCTTTTATGCAGAAAACAGGCTGTTGTGGGCACAGTGTCCAAACTGTCATTTGTAATTGGATTACATAGTGAAGTGATTCATTTGGGGATTAATTCATTCTGGTGTATACTCAAGCTTACTTCCTTCCCTCTAAAGTATTTCCAATTCAGAAATTATAAGATTTCAGGAAAACTGAATTTATCTAGCATTACTTCTTTTTTTTGTGCAGTTTAATATCCCCAGCTTTTTCTGACGTTTCATAGAAAACTATGTTAATGGAAGGGTGTGGTTTCTTTCTCAACTAGAGTCATGTTACTTTTTTAGCAGCAAAAACAATGAACTTTACATAAATTCTAAAAGTGTTTCTACTGGAAGCAATATCTGGAGGGAATGATTTGAATTTGTCTTTCTTTTGTGTTTCCTTAATATTTATGTTTTTAGAGTTATGACATTTCAGGGTTTCAGAGAAATTAAGATTACTTTTGACTGTATTATCAATTTTTAATGTAGTAAATGGTTTCAAAAATTGGGACTAATTTTAGTTTTTCTCTGCAGGAAAACTCTTGAAGATCGTTTAAAGCTTGAGGAAAAACTTGGCACACTCAATGTGTCTGATACCACAGTAGGCAGCAAACAGGCAACATTCAAATTAAAGAAGGTGAGCTATATATATATATAATTTTTAAGATAATGCACAAGTAACTTTAGTTTTTGCATGAAAGAACAGGAACTTTAAAACCGTCAAGCAAATGTCCCTCTTCATTTCTTTATAAGCTGCCAACTCTTCAGGTTCTTGCCAAGAGAATGAAAGCCTCCGGTAGTACTCTGGGTGTTTATCCCTTATAACTCAGGCAACACTTATAAAATCTTACGTTCCGGTGGAAAATAATGGCTTGCATCTTTTAATAGTTGATTTGCAGACGTAGCACCAGGAGCTTGTGACCTTGCCTGACTTCAGTGCCAGCACTGATCAGATCTCAGTCTGCAGGCCCCAAAACAGTCAAGGTGCCGTAGGGAACCGGCTGTCTCTTGGTTTAGCACGTTAAGAGGTCTCAGCATGATAGAAACAGAGCTCCAAACCACCTTTGCTATTGACCTTGTGTAACACAGGTCACAGGAACGAGCTCTGGTCCTGTACTGGTTGTCAAATCCATTTGAAGTGTGTAGTTGACTGCTGCCTATCTACCTTTCCCAAGGGTTTTGATTTCCTATCCTAAAGAATTTTGTAGATTGCATACAAGTGATTCCTTTTTAGTGTGGGGGCAGTTAAATGCCTGTGTGCATTTGCTACTGCTGTAGAACACTTAGGGCTTGTTTTACTAGAAAACTGCTTTAGAACTGAGGAGAGGATTCATTATAAAACCTGAAGACCCAAATGTATTGATACTTGACTGACAAAATTTCTTTTGATTAAATCAGTTTTCCTCAGGTGAGCATCTTTGCTATTATACATTTCTCCTTACCAGTGGTCAAATACTATTCTCACTGGTAAAACACTGTCACGAGAATGGCTGAGTAGTTATTTATCACATTGGATATACCTGAAGGAAAAACAATCAAATTCATTGACTGTCTCTACCTTACTTATTTTATCTGATTATTATCCATTTGCAGTTGTCCATTTTCATCTATTTTTGATTCCTATATTGCTGGAATTTAAAATACGGTGACTGTGGAATAAGTCACAAATTCCTCTGCAGTGCCATTTAGGGTAACATTTCTGGGGATTTTACCAACTCTGTAACTGATACGTTGTTGTCTTTCAGCTTATTAAATGGGCTTTGCTGGGCTTCAAAGCACGGTATATTTTATAGTAGCTTTAAGTTAAAAAGTGCAAAACCACAAGGTTTCTTGCAGTTGGTGGTGCACACTGAAAAAAACAAGTGTCATCTTTTACTGACAGTTTTGTAAAGATTTGGGAGCAAAGTAGACAGACCTTGCAGGAGGAAGACAGACACAGCAGTGGTTCAGAATGGCAGGATTACTTGATTCCATCAGATAAGATACAGCTTTGAGGGTTTTTTTAAATTATGGTGCTGCTAGCATATATGGATTTTCTTTTCCTGGCAATTTACTGATACTGCTTTGTTGAAATATGTACATTGTGGTCATCTGCATTAAAAAGATCTTTAAAAATCTGTTTTAAAGAAAAAGAATGAATCTAAGTGGAGATACTGTTTCCTATCAATAGAATAACAAAGTAATTCTCTTAAATAAACAGACCTTGTATGTATCTTCTGAAGTCCCAAGGAATGGGGCAGGGAGAGCTGAGAAGAAGCCATGCTGTGCAGTCTTGGCACTTCTTTTCAGAAGATGAAGAGTTGGAGTTGGCAGACCAAAAAAGGGATTTTAGTGTTACTTGTAACATTCTACTTCTGCTTTGTGATGCCCTTTGTGCAAAAGGCAGGTGTATTTAGAAGTAGGTGGAAAGATTAAGTAGGGAAGAGAATTGTGCTTCCATGGGGTTGGTATCACTTCAGCTCTTAAGTCAGTGGAATTGACTTAGATGCTTCAGGTGTGGTGTATTGGCAGCCTCCCAATATTCAGCTGCCACAGACAGATCCAGTGATGAAATTGTGTGCCATTGGTATTTTACAGTTCAGTTTTCAGGGGATTTGAATATTGTTCCTACAGTGTGGCAACTTATTTTTCAATTTCAGTATGCTTTATCATAGCAAATAAATCTAACAAAATAAAAATACCAAGGTACTTACCCTACTCAGACAGTATGGGAAACATTTAAAAACTGTATTACCAAACCATGGATGTCAGTGCAGTTATCCTGGGCTTCTTGAAATTGCTCGGATTGCTGGAGTATTTTATAGCGTGGACAGTTGCCTGAGCTTGGTTAATTCAAGCCTGCTAGTTCCAGTTTATGCTTGGTTTACAGACAAGCTTTAGTCTTCCAAAGAAAATAGTCGTTTATGGCTGTAAGAGCCATTTCATCTACATGGTACATAAATTAAACCCTTCCAGCATGTTTTTGATTAACAGAAGAAACAATAGAGCATATACCACAGGAGCAGAGGTTTAAAATTACTTTAATGTAGAAAATATTTCTAGAATTCCATGCAGCATATCAAACACTTTCAAGAACTTCTAAGAACACATTTTAGGAAACATGTGTGCTTCAGCAAATTTAACTAATTGTTCCATCGTTYGAGAATTAGATTGTGCAATATTAAGCCTGACAGATTTCAAGAAGTATTTGGACAATACTCTTGGGCACATAGTGTGACTCTGGCCAAGGAGACTCCTGTAGGGCCAGAGGTTGGGCTCAGTGATCCTTGTAGGTCCCTTCCAACTCATTCTATTCTGTGATTCGGTGATTAAACTTGAAAACACTGGTTAACCAAAGTAGATACTAAGTAGCCACAAATTGGAATCTGTGTTCTCAAGGGCATTTAAACATAAATGATGGAGTGTATTCTTAAGCATTGTTTTTTATCTGAAATACATTATTCACTGTTTTTTCATATCCTTATGTTAAACATTTGCTGAGAAAAACATGGAATGATAATGCCTAGGATATCCAGAATTAGTAGGTACGGTTTGACTTAAGACAGCATGGGGCAACTAATGGTAACATTTCCAGATTTGCTTGATGAAATTCTGACTTGATATATTGATACTGGGACAATGAGATGATGGGTGAATTTACAAGAACCTGAGTCTATTTTTGTTTTAATATTCCAGTCAGAGCAACAAAGAAAACAGCAGGAAGCTGAGAAACGGCATCGTCAAGAGAGGAAAACTCTTCGGCGCTCTGCCAGTCATCTCAAAAGCAGACGAGGAAGAGGACGACTGTTTCATTGATTTATGGGAGTTTTTAAAGAAACTTTTTACCTCATTTTCATCTGAAAAAGGGGCTTTTCAAATTGGGACACAGTACCAATGAATTTGTATTTTGATTCATTGGTGAACACAAAAACTGAACTTCCTAAACGCTGTGTTAATTATTGAAAAATTTATGAAAGTTAAAGTACTGACCAAAGGACACTACGAATGTTGTCCAGTGTGAACTGTATTTGTTCAGAAATCACCAGCAACTGGTTATTGTGTAACCCTGGATGTTTTCTCTATAAGAATTTATGTATACAATAAGGCTGCCTGTCTTTTATTTAACTTAAGAGCTATGAGTTTTAGTTTGTGAAATCTTTATTTATGACTGCTTAGATAGAAGATCGAAGGTAAGTTATTTTGTTTAAAAGCTTGTCTTTACAAAGGAACAACAAATTTTTCTCGTTCTTGAAAGAGGACATATAATTCTATTTTTCACAAAATTGTAACTTCCAAAACATGGCTTTATATTATTGGGTTGCCTTTAGTAGCAAATGGTACAAATGGTTGTCGGGAGGGCAATTGAGAATGCCTGCTTTGAGTTTCCTGAGTCATTCTATCAGGAAACATCTCTTGCCACACCAGTTTACCAAGGGGAAGCTCAGAAGGGTAGTCCTATTAACTTAGATTTTGTAAATACTGCCTTAACTCATGTAAAACCTGGTCCTGTTGTTGCCATTTGGGAAAGCCAGCCATGGTTCAACATAAAGCGAGTGGTATATGTTCATATAGCAAGCACTTCAGGGCCATGCCAATAGTCATCTAAATAAATAAAAAACCAAGAACCTAAGTAGGAATTAAGCAAATAGGTTAATTTTTACCTTTGATCCTAAAGGAACCTTTTTATTGCTTTTTAAAAGCCTTTATAAATTGCCTTTTTGCTAGATCAAAAAAACGGTAAACTTTGGATCTAACAAGAATCAGTGAATCTCCCTGMCACTGTAAATCTTTTTAAGAAACTCATGGGTTCTCAAGTGTTTTGCTTTATAAATCAGAGAGGTATTAATCTGGTTAGGTCTCTTGGGCAGTATTTATAGAATCTTTGGAGTTATTTCAGTAAAAGCCTTGCTTTCTCATAGCCTGATATTTTTCTGGTGTTGTTTTTAGGTGGTAGAAAAATTAGCCACATGGTTACATTTTTTTTCTTCCTGGTGTAAGTTTACCTGTTTTAATTCCTTCTGACTTTAATTATGTTATTGCCTTTAGTTTAAAAAGACCTGTTTCACCTGATGTTTTTATCTTAAAAACTTACATTGCAGTCATTATCTCTGTCCTGGCATTCAGCTAAAGGATTAGTCTCTCGATGCCTAGTTTTCTACCTCTAGCTGTCAAATTTCTGCATTATCCATAAGCTTCTCATGCTTTTTATTTAGCACAGAACTATTCGCTGTTCCAATGTCAGTCTCACTCATGCTGTAAGTACCATCATAACTTCTCCTTAAGCACTGAGAAAATATGAACGCAGTTGTCGTTGCTTCAGGGTATGTCCCTCTTTTTGGAGTCTTGTCTTTTGACATTCAAGCCTTTGAGATCCAAATGCAGTGAACAAGTTAAAATTTGTACTAGTGCAACATTTTCTCCTTGGAGCATTATGTTATCTCTTAGAAACTATCTGTGTGTGATTCCAGTGTGCTCACGTCATACCCGGGGCTATACGAACATGGAAAGATTAACACTGGAAATTTGCCTCCATTGTGGTTGAGACAGGGAGAGATGGGGACTGAGTGGACAGAACTGGCGCTGTAAGAGCAGGAATTTGGCAGAGTTTGCTCCTTCTCGTGATGGACCTAAATCCCATTGTATTTGATTTGGAGCTAGAGGTGCATTTGTGGTTTAAGGCATCTCTGTTTCAGCAATGATTTTGTGGGCTGTCAGGAGTGGGGAAAAAAAAGTGGCTGGTCTGCGGGGTGGAAATGAATTGAGCTTGAAATGGTTAACTTGCAGCTTAAAATGAGTGTATTTCTTGTGATTTGAGATTCTTCTGACAGACTGGTTTAACTCAGTGTTTTGCTTCCATGCACTTACATTCACAGTGTAAGTATTGCAGTAGTCTTGATCATGTATTTTGGTTGAAGTCTATGTGATTAAAAGAATATGCTTTGTACTGTTAGATAGAAGGCACATGTAAACTGCCCTTAGCATGCCATTTATTTCACATCAGAGGTATTTGAGATACACTTTAAACGCCTCTGACCTGCTAGAAGTGCTCTTCCTAAGGCACCCCAGGACAGTGCTGGCCTTCTTGGCCCTCAGGGCACTGCTGGCTCATGGACAGTTTGTTGTCCATCAGGACCCCCAGGTCCTTCTCCACAGAGCTGCATCCCAGCAGGTCAGCCCCAGCCTGTGCTGGTGCCTGGGGTTATTCCTCCCCAGGTTCAGGACCCTGTGCTTGCCTGTGTGGAATTTCAGATGATGCTTCCCTGCCCATCTTTCCAGCCTGTTGAGGTCCCTCTGAAGGGCTGCTCAGCCCTCTGGGGTAGGAGCCACTCCTCACAGCTTTGTGTCACAGGGAACTTGCTGAGGAGGCACCTGCCCCTTTATCCAAGTTATTGAGGAGTAAGTTAAACAATATTGAACCTTGAGGGACACCACTAGTGACAGGCCTCCAACTAAACACTGACTATGACCCTCTGGGATCTGCCATTTAGCCAGTGCTCAGTCCACATCACTGTCCACATAGGGACCTGGTATGAAGCATGCTTAGATTGTTGAGGCTGATAAAGTAGATTAACAGCAGGTTAAAGTTGTTCTTGAACAGCTATCTGGGGAAGATTGGAAGTTTCAGTAGAAGCTGATGTATTAATGCAACATGATTGCAAATTGATTAACTTCATCATGCCACCAAAGCAGGCATTTCTTAAGTGTCAGCCTGCTTTCACGAATGTTTTTCAGTCAGCAGTCACTTCATTTTCCATACTGCAGGAATCAGGATTAATCCAGAAATGCAGTTCCTAGGAGCTGAGCAGCTGCTGGAATCCTTTGTGACATTAAAGGTTCATACTCTTAAGGTGTGATCAGATGTTGTAGCCTCATGGAAACCCTGATTGTTTCATATGTTTGAGAACTTAGTGGTGAGAATCAGTTTAAAAAACCACTATAAATAAATGTAGAGACAGTGGTTAAATGTGAGTGAAATGCTGGTGAGAGAAAGGAATGACCTGAGTCTGATGTGTCACCTGCACTTCAGTATTTTTTTACTCTACAGGTAATATGATTTATATCAGGCTATTATTCATTCAACAAACACTGAACCAAAACTAATTATCTAATGTTCTTTCCAAAATTCTATTACCAAGCCAAGAATCATTCTGTGTTCCTGTGGCTGGTATAATTGTCTGAAATTAAAAGCATCTACCAGCTTAAACAAAACAGTGAAAAAATTTATTAATTACCACTGCTGTTTTTTAATATCTGAACAAAAGAAATGTGATACCTGCATACATAGCAAGTGTGTGTAAAATATTTATTCACATTTTTATACTCACAGGGTTTATGTAGGGAGCTTGAAGCAGGTATGGTTCAAAATGTCAAGCTTCAGGAGGAGTTGTTAGAGAGGATGGAACAGTTTTCAGATTACTCCATCTCGCTTTGCAGCATCTTTTTATATTTGTGTTTTTCGTGTTTCCAGGTGAAAATGGGGAATATAATTTAATTCCAGGAAGAAAAGACCAACTTTCAGATGCAGTACAGTGAAGCAGTACAGCTCCTTGCCTGGGGAGGTTGTGCATTGTCTGTGAAAGGACTTGTGATGTTGAATTGAACATCTGCAGGTATAGATATCTATGTAACTGCAGGTGTAGGGGAGCCTTCCCTGAGGAAGAGGAATGGTTTAATGAACTTTAGAGGACCTCTCGAGCCTGGTGACTATGAATGTTGTAGGGCATAAGGAGGAAGCATGTATCATTAATTGACTGGAGTAATTTTCCCCTTTGTCTCATCTTTCCACTGAATCACTCAACTAGTTTTATCTTTTTATCTCTTTCTTAAAGATTAGGTACTTCTTTTGGCATGTTTCCATAGCTAATATATTTTGTCTGATGTTGAGAAGTATGGGGATTTTAAACTGAATGAAAGCACATAAATCTATTAATAAATTTTACCTCTTGATCCTTATCTCTGTATTTCAAAGCCCATTTTACTCAGCAACTGACTCTTTGTGTTTAATATGAAATAGTCCTGTCACCAAAATGAACCATTTCTAGTAAAGCCTGCAGAAAATAACCAATTTAGCACCTCTTGTAGTTTACACAACTGGAAGAAAGGGAATTTCTGCATTTTAAAGAATCTCTGGGTCATAGGATCATAGATTGGTTTGGGGTGGAAGGGGCCTTAAAGGTCATCTAGTTCCATGTGCCCTGCCATGGACAGGGAGCCTTCCACTAAACCAAGTTGCTCAGAGCCCATCCAACCTGGCCTTGAATGCTGCCAGGGATGGAGAGTCCACCTATGCTCTGAGCAACCTGTGCCAGGGCCTCACCACCCTCACAGCAATGGATTCTTCCCAATATGTGACCTAAACCTACCCCGTAAGTGGCATTTCCATAAGGAATACTTGTGAGTATCCCCTGGTACACACTGGTTTGCTCTCGTGTCAGCCGAGCTAAAATAAGTGGTTTTCTGTACAAGTGAATGAAAACCACAACAACCAAACCAAATTTACTGGTGTAAATTCAGAAATGTGTCAGTCTGTTGCTGACTGGTTTTCAGGATCTCCATCCGTTCTTTGCTTAGTGTTCTAGAGCATATCCAAAAAGAGAAGATCCACCCTGAGCATGTTCAGAAAGGAGTAATTTTTCTCTTACTCTTTGAAAAGGATTGAATACTGCATTTCCTTTGACAGCTATATTTAATTAAAGTACAACCATTTTGCAGCAAGATCAGGTACAAGTTGAAAATGCTGTCATTCCCCGTGGAGTTATGCTGAGCTTTGGGTCAGCTTACCTATGAAAGCAAGTTTTTGTTCCCATTTAATTCTTCATTGAGTGGGAGCAAAAGTAAAAATCCCATTTCCTCATTAAAGAGAAAACTAGGCAGTTGAAGTGGGAAATACCAGCCCAGCCCTAATCAGAATTTATACTCCCAATTCCTGGAACCACCCTTCCCTTCCCTACAGCAGTTTCTGCCAAAGCTGCTCGGTCTCTCCTACCTATTATCTCATTTGAACATCTGGCTCTATCTTCTGGGATGCCTCTACACTCCTCTTTTTTTATGTTTAAATCAGGATCTCTAGCATGAATTTGTTCAGATACTTTACAGAGTTGAGAATGAAGGCTGAAGTGGTAATACACACTTGTTGTGTGTGGGCACATCTTGAGCAGAAATGATTTCTATGAGCCTGGAGATAGAGAGCTGGTTCACACTCCTGTACATGTTGGTGAAAATAGGCAGGGGAATGTTGCTTTAAACCCCCCAAAACCCACTTCTCTGTGTGTATCTGTACTGCTGTGCTAGCTCTCCTTCAGTAAGGTCTGGGTGCTTTGGCTGGGATTGGTGTGTTTTTTAATTTTTTCAAGAATTTCACCTCTGCATTAGTATGATTGCAATGTGCAGTTATATCCATGCACAGTTACATTAGGTACAATTACACAGTTTAGCATTAAAAAGCATTCAAATGATATATCATCTGACTTCGATCATGAATATTATGTCCTTTCCATTTAGCACCATTTCTTCTGTAAATGCATTTTCCATGTTTTAACCTTTATAATATTGCCACAAGTGGAGTACATACAGCAGAGGTCATAAAAGACCACATGCTTAAGATTTAATCATCTTATGCAAATGACAGTGTTGTGAAAAGTAATTATCTTGTCTGTTGGGGTTCTGCTGATATTCTTGTAAACTGAATCAAAGGAAAGTTTCATCACAGCTACTGTTTTTCTCCTTTCCCAGATGTAAATTGTAGGTTGCTCAATGGGACTATGACACTGCTGCACCAAAAATGAGGCAATATTTAAATGCATATCCACAGCAAATAAGTATCCTCTATCAGAGATACTTTAGACAGGTTACAACAAATCACTGCCATGGATGATGCCGTGGTAACTGCATTGCTGCAATGTACCTATCCCTAGAAGGGTGTAGATGATCATTCTGCTGTTCTTAGGACAGGGCCTGACGCTGTTGAGTTTACAAGTACAGACACAACGTGGAGCACCGTGTGTAACATCTCACATGTACCTTTAGCTTGGGACTGCTGTCACTCAGCTGTAAGGAAAGACATTAGGATGATTGATAACTTTAGGAGCAGTTATTCCAGAATTCAACAGTGATAATCCTTTATTTCTGTGACCAGTCTCCCAAACCATGAAAGGTTCCAGTTAAAACTGGAAGAAGATGGAAATTTCTCCAGAGCGGAGGTGAGGCACCAGGCTATGTCGGGTATTCAAGAAACTCTTGTCATTCCCTGGAGTGATGGGAACCAAAACTTGCTTCACTGATGGCATTTGGGATAGATGTGAGGGCAGGATTGCCAGGATATGGTGGATATGTAATGTGACCAAAATAAGGAGGATTTACTCCCAGGTGGACAGAACACTGTACTTCAGGGTGCTGCAGGATGAAATAACCAGTCAAGGCAGGTGGTTCCTTCCCTCCAGAGGATCTCTCTTTCCCTTCTTAAATGATGTGTCTGTGATGTCTACTGAAATGTTTTCTAGAAAGTAATGCCCAACAGTGGATGTCTGCCTTGGCCTCTAGTGATGCTTACATGTTTCCTCTTAATCATAGAAAAGTAACTGACTTTTAGTGTCAGTTAAGATATACTGCTTTCCCTTGCCTCTGAAGATCTGGGGGGTAAGAGCTCTGTCCTTCAAAGAGGCCACCACTTCCCTTGAAACTGARGGAATTTCTCATAGAAAGAAATAATTTGGAAAAATCCCTGTTTAGTAAGGCAGTCAGTAAAACAGGTGGAAAGAAAGGGAGAGAGAAGTGGTGGAAAATAATTTGAGATCTGGTSAAATGTTGCTCTTAAAACATTTCCGCTTTCAAAAAAGCTTATCAATGTGAAAGTCCAATTTTCAAAAACTGGAACTAATCTGCTCTGGTTTGGGGTTTTCAGTGAAAACTTGTAGGTTTTTTATTGCAGTTTTCTCCTAGAAGGTACAGTTCTGTCCTGACCTGCTGTGGTTTCTTGTACTCTGGGGTCTTTTAAAAATTGGGTTCCTCCAGCCAGCATGACAAGGCTGCTACAGGTGGTCAGGCAGAAATAGTAATGTCAACTCTTTCAAACATTTTTCCTGATTCTGTGCCTTCACCACCCCAACAATCTGGAATTATTGGGGTTAGATATTTGGGAGCTATCAAATCAGAAGGACTGAAGTGCTGGACTTTCTGAACCTTTTTTATCTTCCTCCTGGGTAGGCATGTTTTTGACACCGCTTGTTACTTTTTCTTCCCCTGTCCAGCTATGAAAGGCAGTGGTAGAGGAGCTTTGGGGTCCCCTGGAGTCCAGCCAGGGTAAACCTGTCGCAGACTGACAACCTCTTCATTTCTTCAATATGTCTTTAGCTGGTAAGTTTTAACAGCAAAGCAGTTTCTGCACTGAGTAGGAATAGTAGGAATGAAAATTATTGTCAATGCTAATTTTTTTTTCCCTAGTGTAGTTGGAATTTGGTGTCAACTAACTGATAGGATCTGTGATTTCTTAATCACAGGAAGCCTTGGAGGTTCTGACTTGGGGACACCCCTGTGTCTGTCTCACCTCACATATCACTTCATCTATCTCACCATACTGAGTCATGCATTTTAGGGCATCGGTACTAACTGCTTTGAGATATGAACCAGGCTGAAGTGCTGGATGGGGTTAAGGATCTGTTATTGTGCAAGGTACTTGTACAGCCGACCAACTTCTACTGTAYGAGCTTGTCTTATTCCCACAGGTCAAATTTTCTGCTTCTTGGCTAAGACAGGAATTGGCACTGGCCTCTGGGCTTTGCTCAGAGTTCAAGTGTGCTTGAATCTCAGAACATAGTTCAAAAATCTCCAGGACAAGGCTGTCCTAAGAGTCTGGCAGCAGCCATGCCCTCAGCCTTCCCTCTACTGTGCACTCTCTGAGCAATCTTCCTGCTCYTTCTTGAAAGCCTTCTGTATGTCAGTGCATTTTACAGCTGATGTATCTAGAAATATTTTCAGTGTTTCAGCAAGGTACCACAGGCTCCCTGTGGTGCCTAGGCAGTGTTCCTCACCACCAAGTTGAAAAGCAATAGAACCAAGACTTTCCATAGGAGATTTTAGTTTCTTGCAGAAATATTAAGGGTCTATGAAAGTAAAGAAATGTTGACCACTGGATTCAGGGAAAGAAGTACAAAGCCCTAAGKCAGAAGGACATAAACACACAAGGGACAGTAACTATTCTGAGGCACTTCAGTCAGTTTCTAAATCAGATGATGTAAATGCCTCAAAGCAAGAAATTTGAAAGCTATTCAGACAGTTTTCTTTGAACACCATTTTGCATGCGAATTTCAAGCATTGAAAAAGGAAAATTCTGTTACATCGATGGGATCCCATCTGTTTTAACTGGAGAGTAATGGTAACATGTGAGAGAGCTGTGGTACCATGCTCCAAATCCCTCAGCAGCAGACCTGTAGCTCGGGTGAACTAGACTAGCATGTGATCACTGAGAAAGACTTTTGTCTCAATTAAAAGTTCTTCCTTGGGTACATAACTACCCAAAGGCAGAGAGAGCTAATCTGAATGACTGGTGTGTAATTTGTATTGGCTCTCACGGATGCTGCTTGCGTTAGAGAACCCATTGCACAGGATGAACTATTACTGAATCATTTCTTAGAATTATCAAGCATAAGCCAGCTTTTATCCCACATGCAGGGCTTTAAACTGTTATTGAATAATTTTTTCAATTAATTCTCTTTGGGCTTTTGTTCAACCTGCAAATCTTGTCTTTTCCAGATACACAGTTTCCAAAACAACAGGGTCCACCCTGCTGCTTTGGTGCAAGACATGCTGTAGCTGGTTTCAGAGGAGCTTTACCAGTGTTGAGATGATGTTGGCTGTATATTCGCTGTGACAATGACAAAATACTGCCTGGCTTACTGGTTGCCTGTAGGTYTGGGTGCTGCTGAGGGGAAGAAGTGGCTGTGTAGGTGTTAGAGCTCCCTGGCTCTCAGAGCTGCTGCCCTGGCCCCTAATGGTGGCCTGGCAGAGCAGACCATGGTTCCTGCTCTGCCACAGGGGCCAAAGTCTAACCCAGTTCCTGGCTGCCAAATTATTTCCCAAAGTGGAATGAGGATGCAGGAAAACACTGAAGCTKTGTGAAATTTTTGCTGCTCCATTGCATTACACACATTCCCAATGTATGTGCTGTGGTGGGTCCCAAAATCAGAAAAGATGAGAAGAGGACAATGTCTCAGAAGAACAAAGTGGGATAGAGGCAGAAAGATGGGGRCAAACATTTTAGCAGGGCCTGTRGAAAGAGGACAAGGGTAGTGGTTTTAAATAGAAAGAGGTTTGGTTTATATTATATATAGGGAAGAAGTTATTTACAGTGAGTGTGATAAAACAGTGGCACCCAGATGGGTTGGATGCCCCATCCCTGGAAACATTTMAAGTCAGGTTGGATGGGGGCTCTGAACAACCTGATCTAGTTGAAGATGTCCTGGCTTTGTGGCAAGGGATTGGACTATGTGACCTTTAGARGACCCTTTCAACCCAAACTGTTCCATTATTCTAGAAGGTGAAAGTTTTCAAATCCACTGTTTCTGTCACAGCACCATCTTAATTGGTGTGGGAAGGAGCTGAAGTTTTGATCTCTGATGGACAAAATTGTTTGCATCTTTAATTCCTGACAGTATGGCACACCATACACCAGTAAATGCAAATAAGTTCTGCCTTAAACAGAAGGTAGRGAAAAAGAGGTGCATTCCCTGCTCTGAAATTGGTGATGTAATTAGAGATTGTATTTGTCAAAACATCTCGGTCCTCAGTTGCTGCTGTTAATGATTTAAACCAAAGACAGCCTTTTATCTGGAAGATACAATTAGTGAGGAATAAAAGAGAATCTTAAAAAAATAGTTATAAAGAATCAGAACAATACACTGGGTTATTTTCTTCTATTTTGCTTCTGAGGAGCTAAAGAAGACCAGTAGAGTCTACTTTCGTGTAGACTTGCAAGGTTGTGCCCTTGAAACTCTGTGAGTCCTCCTCACAAAGACGACTGAAGCAGTTTACATCTTAAATGCTGTTTCTGGTTGGGCTTTATAGTAGCCCAAGTAGAAAGGGCTTTATAGCTTACCCCAGAGAACAGCTTCAGCATCTGTAGGTGACTGTAAAGGTTTCTTCCGTGCTTGTAGGATTACACAAGGGCAGTGGGGTTGCAAACTGACAGAGCACCTGGGGAGAGGCAAAAACACTGAGTGTTTRCAATCTGATATGAGTTGGTTTTCCTTTCATGTGACTTTCCTTTGAGGAGTGCATAGTTTTTGGAGCCCATGTTGACATGGAGTTCCTACAGCAGCAGCTTTTAGCTATTACTCACCCAGCTACCAGYACCATTTAGCTTGGGAACAGACTTAGCTGGAAATGGTTTCTATGTACTCTTCCAGCTTCCCCTTGGAGCCTGCAGATTTTTGCTTACACAACATAGAATCACAGAATCACAACATCTATTCACCACTGCATGGTGAGACATTTCCTACTGCTAGTGCTGTGCCTGGCTCC